ATCCAGTTGGAGCCTTGGAGGTGGCGGAGATCAGTCTTGTTGGAGGTACGGGAGGCGCTAAAAATGGTGGAATCGGAAGAATTGTGGGAGGTGGTTGAAATTGAAAAAACAGACCAGCTCACAAGCTTGGGGAAGGAGTCTGGATAAGAGATGAGCGGACCATCAGAAAAGAAAGAAAAAAGAGAAGAAAGAGAAAAAAGAAGAGAGAGGAATAAAGAAAAAGAAAACAAAAGAAAATTATAAAAAATACGAAACAGTAAAAAATTGACATGTGGAACATCCACGTAAGCGTATAACGGGGTAACAGGTTGTTTACCTGTTAAATGGCTGATTTGGTCGTTTTTTATAACTTCACGGACTCGATTGACTCGATAAAAAGTACATGAATTTAATTGACTTTTTGTCAAAAGTAGATGAACTTATTTGACAGTTTTTCCTTTATTCTACTATTTGTTCTAGACTTCTAGTGAGACGTGATTATTGTAGTGTGCTTAGGTCTCTAAACTCTAAAGCGAGGCATTGATTGTTTTACCAATCTCACCTACCAGTCTACCACAATATCTTGAAAGAGTGGATATTTAATACGGGAGGAAGAAGGCAATAGGGAATGAATTGGGGCATTTAAGTTCACTCATTAATGTTTTTTTTTTGTCTAAATCATGAGACGTTTCATTATTAGATAATTCAATGTGGATATCTAATAATAATTCATTATTAGATAATTCAATGTGTTCGATAAAAAAGTTGAGTCCTCACCAACTAAAATGGAAATTACCAAATGGACTATACATAATGGTGAAGATAAAAATTTGATAAAATATACGACTTATAAGCCTGATCAAAATGTATGTATTACTATTCATAAAAATAGGTGATTACAATGCAAAACAGACCAAATCTAAATAGACCAACACAAACTTAAACACATCAAATTAAATCAATTCAAACTATACTAAACACTTAGAAATTAGAATCTTAGATGCTTAGAATCTTGAGTATAAAAAGATCATATACTAGTTTGTACGACAAGACTAATAGGAGTAAATTAGATTACATTATACTCCCTCCGTTCCTAAAAATTCTTCCCGGTTTGACTTGGCACGCTTATTAAGAAAGTGGAATAAAGTTGAAATGTATGGTTGTGGTTGTGTAAGAAAAAGGTAAAATGAGAAAGTGGGAAGTATTTTTGGGAACGGAGGGAGTATTTAAATAGACTAAACTAATTTTTCCTACACGAAACAACTAATTGACTATACCAGTTATCAAGAGAACTAGTTGGTACCAATCGGTGCAAAGTAAAGGATGTTGATTCAACTACATTGATGGCCATTTATCATCTCCATGGAACACGTGTAGCTATACTTTGGTAAAGTCACATCATTTTGAACTCTTTTATTGTACTATATTACTATTTTTTATTAACTCCTCTTCCTTTCTCATTGCATGCATTATGTTCAATGCATTAGTAAAGTATGATTATCAACTGTCAAGAAGTGTTAGATAGCCACCCTTCTCTTTCAGAAGCCTTCTTAATAAATGTCAATGAGAGAAGCAGGAATAAGATTGTTTGTGAGGAGATGAAGCTTGAAATCTGAATTGGATCCTTCAACTTGCAGAATAAAAATATATATCTTGGAGTTGATTTAGGAAATGGCATTTGTTGAATTGTTTTTGGTAGCACTAATGCCTGTTCTCAAAACACTCATCATCACATCCATTGGCCTTTTTCTCGCTCTCGGTCGCGTCGATATCTTGGGAGCATCTGCCAGGCACAGCCTGAACAATGTAATGTGTGTGTGTGTGTGTCTATGAAGTACGGAAAGTCGGAAAATGTGAATTAACATTTCGGAAAGTCTCAGAAACGCTCTAAGCACTTGTTTTCTACTCCGTGTATTAAAAGATGACGTTTCACGTTTCCCATACTTTCCACGGCAACATAGAATCATAGATATATATATATATATATATGTGCTCAATTACTCACTGACTTATCTGTATCTAGTACATGTGGGATTTACTAATCTGGTTCTGTGTTTGGTTGCATGCAGCTGGTGTTTTACGTTTTCACTCCGGCGCTTGTAGCTAGCAGCCTGGCTGAGACCTTAACAGCAACCAGTGTTGTTACCTTGTGTGTTGGATTCTGATTTCTAGCTCAGATATATCAAATCATCTTAGTTTTCCATATTTAATTTTCTGCTAGCTAATTTAATTTCTTGATATATATTTTTCGCTTCTAAATCTCCAGATGGTTCATGCCCGTAAACATACTTCTGACGTTTATCATCGGATCCGCTCTAGGATGGGCCCTTGTTAAGGTCACAAGAACTTCTCAAGAACTTCACGGTCTTGTCATTAGCTGTTGTGCTGCTGGTATATGCATATAAATTAATCAAATATTGTTGAATCCTAAAGTGACTTGGGGTTAAATCTTAAAGTTACTTCATACATTTATATTTTACTGATGTTCGATGACTTAGCATGCTCTGAAATTCTGAATATGATGGCTTGTACTGTGTTCGTTGAGTGTTGGCCGAATCGAGTTCTTCATTTGAGCTTTCTTGGGGTTTCATTCTAAAATTTTAACAAGATCTTATATACTTCGTATTAGTTTGAAATTTTATATGTTGGTCTGAATCTTTATACTCCATATTTGACCATGTGTGATGGCATAACAAATAGGAAAATGTTACTCTTAATATAGTAGTCCAACAAGACAACTTGATTGTGTATAGGGAACTTGGGCTATTTGATGCTTATCATAATTCCGGCAGTGTGTGAAGAAAAGAACAGTCCATTTGGAGATTCTTCAACCTGTTCTACAAACGGAAAAGCCTATGCATCCCTTTCCATGGGGGTAATGTATATTGCAAAAATAATGAAATTAGATTTATGCTGCTTTATTCTGGTTAATAATTCTTGTCAAACTCAAGGAAAAATGTTTATCTATTGGAAATGATGTTTGAAGATAGGAAACATTTACATATGGACATACATATATAACATAATCCGGGCTTCTGGAAAACCGCGGCGAGATTCTAAGGACACATTGAGTTCTAGCTTCTCAGATAGATGCAGACAAGGTTTGCTTTCAAGTCATAGCTTAAAATATTACCAAGAAGAAGAGGAAGCTCAGCTAGTATGTGATCATCAAGAAGAGGTCAATTAGTATTCTTCTGCTTTATTTGAAAAGTATAATTCCATCCATTATTTTTCAACTATACTTCATTCATTCTATTTTGTTTGCATCAGTTTTACTTTCACTTTTGGCAAATAACTTTGACTATTAATATATTTAACTATCTACTATGTAATATATATTACAAAAAGTTGATGTTTCCAAATATTCTTTGAAGTAAATTTTACAAAATTTTACATTATACCATTTGAGTTTATGCAATCAACAGAAATGTATGTCAAAATATGACAGGCGGGGCAGTGAAAAAGTTCAAATGTTGCGATCCTTAAAAAAAGATAGGAATTATATAAATGTTGATGATTTTCATCATCATTAGCCTTTTCATGCAGCACCAAGAATCCGTAGTGATGAGGATCAAACGGACCGTGAACTTGTGGGTGGAGAAGTTGAACCTAAAAATGATGTTTGCTCCCTCCACCATTGCAACAGTATGATCACATTCTTTTCATACTTATGACCTTATACCAATACATGCATATAAGCCTAATGATTGAATTTATAAGTGAGGGAATGAACTTCATGTTACAGATTGCTGGAATAACTATTGGAGTAGTACCAGTATTACGAAGGTTGATGATTGGCGATAATGCTCCACTTCGTGTAATTAATAGCTCTGCAACTATGTTAGGGTATGAACTCTATTAAGACTTGAGGTTTCATCTCTAAATAGTTTGTGTTGTTTTCATGTTTTGTATGTTTATACTTGACTAACGTGTGACCAAACATATCGCAGGGAGGTAGCAATACCAGCTTCGACACTTATAGTTGGAGCGAATCTTCTTCGAGGTTTTTGCCTTTTTCATGCTTATTAGAGGAAGTAAGACGAGTCTGAAAATTGGTAATTTTAATATTTTGTGTTTGCAGGGCTAAAAAAGCAGTCAGTTGGGGTGTGGGTGGTGGTAGGGGTGCAGGTTATTAGGTTCATCCTGTTGCCTCTATGTGGCATTGCCATCATGAAAGCAGCCCGACATTTCGGTTTGGTAGGGTCGGATTCTTTGTTCCATTTTGTTCTTCTCCTCCAATATGCACTTCCTTCTGCTATGGGGATTGGTAAATGACATCTCTATTGTTAATCACTCCATTCATAGCACTATTTTCAGTCCTCTGGTTTGATGCTTTTTATATAAACAAATGGTTATTTTAAAAGCTGAAGATGATGGAATGTGATGTTTTGGGAATTGACAGGAACCATGACTCAGCTGTTTGAGGTTGGGGAGAGTGAATGTTCTGTGATATTGCTTTGGAACTATACTCTGGCTTCCTTTGCCCTTACTCTATGGAGTACATATTACATGTGGTTTTTGTCTTGATTTTTTTAAGAAAGAAAAAAGGATGTTATTCAGAATAAAAAGGGGTTTTGTTGACTTTATTACAGGAATGGTTCTTTACTCTTGATCGTTTTCAGGATTACATTGAACTATAAAAACAATAAAAAGTCTTTAAAAATTGTACCATTCTGATCATTCACTTTACTAAATTACCTTATCCAAAATGACTGACTTGTTCCTATTCCATGGTTGCAGACTTGCAGTTATTTCCGGTATAACATGATATAAAGCTAGGTAATACATTTACCAAATAAATCGATTTTTTATAATTATTTTGAAACATGAACAAATAAACATAACTAGTAGAAAGTAACTGCTGGACACTAATTACTAAGTGCTCCTATTAGTGCCAATTAAGATATTTTCTGTAGATTTGGAGATAAAGGGAAACAAAAGAGGTATGCAGGGTCCAATTTGTAGGGGGTGGGAAGAAAATGAGAACGAGGTGATGAAAAAAAGGAAAAAATTAATATAAACGGGTCAAACATCATGTCAACCAAATCTATTCACACCCTTTGAAAAGTTGATCTGTTTTTCCCAATAGTAAATATTTACCGAATAGTACGCTAGTATAATGCACACATGATAAATCCCTTATTTAGTCTTATTGACATAAATATTTGTGGACTGAAGAATATGTACATCCATAGCATGATTTTAGAATGAGTAAACTCTAATGTTATTAAGACCATTGGTACAACAATTAGTGTTGTGCAATTGTACCTCCTGTCATACTGATCATCATATGGCCATATGGGTATTGAAAGCCAGTTTATTGTAATCTTTGGCTTTGGGGTTGAATCTCTGAAGGGTCAACTAACCCTTCTAACACAACAAGCTCATCTAGAAGTCCCAACTTCTCCTCTTCGAGAACTTTGATGTCATCTTCAACTTCCATCAACTCTTTCCCAAGTGTGAAACTTTCCTCTTCTAGCAGCAAATATTTTCTCCTCAATGCCCGATAGTCATCTCCAGGAGTAGACGCATCCATTTCATGACCTCTTATGGAAGAAGCCTTCTGCGCTACTTGCATCCTTTTCAAAGTGTCCCCTTGAGTTTGAGGGATGGAAGTTTTTTGTGCAGAGGCTTTCTTTTTGCGTGACTTGCCAAAATTCTCCTCCATCCTCTGATCTTGCAATTCTAGATACTTGCAGAAACACCTGAAACACAAATCCCTTAATTTTTGAAGTCTAATCATCAATGAACAAAATACGTCTGGACAAATATATAAAATGTTTGATTGAATTTGAACAAAATGTTTACTTTGTGCAATATTTTCTTTCCTTCACAACCATCTCTCAACTTTTGTCGTGTTCTTTCTCTAACATAATCCTCCTTAAGTTTCAAACACACTTTAAGGAAATAGTAACACTGTAAGCACACTCTAGAATAATGATATTAATAAACTTCTCACTCTATGACAATCATTATCGATTTTCTTAATATGCTTGCTTACAGTAGTATATCATATGAGGAAATGGTGACAGTTATATTCATGTTAAAAAAAATTAGACCCCATTCCTGAGGCCCCCCACGACCGTCGGGACAGTTATTTGGGAGTTCTAGTCGTGTTTATGTTCTATATCTCAATGCTATCCCCTGACATGGCAAGTAAACTTGGTTCTTTTGGGGGAGGAGCGAGTCAATCTGGAACCACTTAATATTTTATCAACATTTCATATTCTCACTTGGTCCAAAAGGTTGAATGCCCAACCCCAAGCCCCCCCCCCAACCCCGACAGGATGGTGGGGAAGTTAATCACGGTGACTCGCGGCGGTAGGCCTTACACAATATTTCATATTCTCACTAGTCACTATAACTGCAACAATAACTAAACTATTTCTGTCCAACTAAGTTCAACATCCATATGACGTTGCATGACCAGACCTAGTGTAATGTAGTTGCATACCTTTAAATAGGAAAATATGACTGCCACCTTAACCCCACCAAAAAAGAACTGTATCAGGTATGTGGTAGTATGTTTGTAATTTCAATGAATGAATTGTTTTAAGATTTATTCCAAATAAAATTGTTTAAGTTTAGTAAACAGAGAAAATACGCAAAGACCAGTGTTGTCAAAAATATATATATGCAAAATACATATGATATGTATGCATATATTTACATTGTACTGGCACCCAACCCTTCCTCTGCTCTGCTATACCGCCTGTATAGCGCGCGATTGACAACAACACCAATCACAGACATCGATGTAACATACAAATGAAACTAGTTGACATAAAACACAGGGAACGATGACATAAAACACTTAAACATCCCCAACTAACAAAATTAGCGGCCATTCAGAGTTTCAAACTCATCACATCATTTTTACTTTAACTACATATACAAAACACATAAACATTAAAATCTAGTGCAAAACTAGCGCTTAATGCTTATCAACCTTCATCTGATCTTTATAATCCCCATTATCAGATAAAATCACCCTTGAAAGATGTGGCAGCAAATTATATCAGTACAATGATACAGAGACAACCTATGGGGGTTGGCAGTCATGAGCGTCCCTACATGTTTGCTGGAGATACCTAGTAAGCCGTGATCCATAGGATTTTATGACCAGATTATGTTATGAGAATGAAGGTGAGTAAAAATATTAAAATGTTGTGTTTGACTTGAATTGGGGCTTAGGGTTTTTTCGCATGTCAAGAGGCTTACGCTTCAAAAGTTGAGGCGTACGCCTTGAGCTGCACCTTGAGGCATTTTTTGAGGCGTGGGTTCCTTGTATTTTTAATATGCTGCGAATTAAGAAAGGCCAGGATTATTTTAAGCACGTAGTATTTAATAAAAAGGTCCATACATTAAACATGTATCCATAGTCCAAACTAAACCCCTAACAAGTCTTTTTTTATTTAAAGTATTCAGTAATTGTTAAAATGTTCGCATATTTCTGCACAGAGAAGTTTTCATACTACTTCGCAAAGAAGTGGACAACTTACAAACAGCTCATTCTTCTGCTCCTCCTCTTCTTCTACATCTCTTCTCCTTCTTCATCTCCTCTACTTCTCTTATTCTTCTCCTCTCCACTTTCTTCTTGTACTAAGCTGTTGGTCATATTTTTGTAGAATTGGTCAAGGTTTTAAAAGATCAAAGATGGACTCCTTAAAATAAGATCTCTAACCAATGATGAGGATAATTTTTTTAATGATGATTTGCCATCTGATGATGAATGGCTTGTGTTTATACTTGTGTTTGTGTTTGATACTTTTTGGATTAATAATTAGGATTAATTACCCATCTTTAGTTGTTTAATACTAGTTTAACTATTATATGTTTTATACTTTTATCTATTTGTATATTTTGAGGCTTACGCCTCAATACGGCTTGAGGCTTAAGCCTCGCCTCTCCGGAACAAACCGCCTCGATACCCAAACCAGTCTTGTTAAAACTTGAAACAACCAATGAGTTCAGTTTTTATAAATACTTGAAATCTACATAAACCAGCCAACCAGGGCAAGAAAATGTTGCAGAGCTAGAACAGAGACGGCATGACATTATATAAAAGAAAAATAAATTTCCTATATGTTCTGCCTAAAGAGCTCCACAGGAACAAATACACCTCATAGAGAAAAAAAATCGACAGATAATATAAGAATGTTAACAAAAAGTGCCATTCTGTGTGTTATCACACATCTAGTTCTTGAGCGATGTGTTAAGCTATGGTATCACATCACCGTAAATAAATAAATAAATGCAAAGACACATACACGCCATAAACTTCCGTATAAATTGAAACAAAGCTTTTCCAAATGAGCACCACCAAAGAACCCTTGGAATCCAAACGATATACACACAAACACACCCCTTATATGAATAACTTTATCGAAAATAAAAAATACAAATATGAATATAAAAATGTTATACTAGTATTTGTTCAAAAAAACAAGGGGAGTGCAGCCCTGCAATAAGTTAAAAATCCATTTCGATTTTAATTACAAACCCTAAATTAGTAACTCAGAAAAGGGTGGACAACAGGTTACAGATGAAAACAAGTGAATACTGTTACTTTTATCTGATCGGAGTTAAAACTGCACACAACACGATCAAGGTTTCAGCTGAATCAGGGCCCTTGGGAAAGTAGGACCTTGTGCAGCAAAAAAGTTTGGGCCTTCCTTTCCAAGTTTTACACAACTAATTTTGTGTTAAAAATTTAAATTACAATTTACTAATGAACATAATAATAAAATAAAAGTACTCATTAACAAAATACATTTATGTGGTTCACTCTCTTGAGCCTCTCCAGTTGTTTTAATAACGGTGTTATCAAGAGCTCCTTTTTTTAGAAAAGATTAACTTTTCTAGTCTTCTTTTCATTGAAGCTTGTCATACCGGATGAGTATTTCTTTGGAAACATAATTATTATTAGGTATCAATTATTGAAGTCCTTTCCTAATCATGTACATGTTTACAAATTTTAAATTAAAATTCATTTAAGACTGGGTGAAACCATAAAGAAGATGATTATAAACTTAAATAGCTTATAAATTATAATCTATTGAATCCTCTCAAATTCTAGATTGTAATCAAGTGAATCTACCCCAAATTCTTAATTGTTAATACAATCATAATCAATAGAATTTAAAACAACATCCTAAATAGCAATTAAAAAGAGAAAATACAGAAAACTAGATAAAGATTACGGGATACCGAGTAACGAATAATGAGGCAGTGAAACAGTGAGGCTGTGAGGGCCTGGACGGCTGGCGAGCCGCAGAGACGCAGCGCCGGCGAGTGCAGAGCCGCAGAGGGCCTGGAAAGCTGGACTCCTGGTCCTGGACCTGGAGGCGGGGCACGAAGGCTGGATGGAGGCAAAGGAGGAGGAGTCGCTACTCCTTGTTAGGTCACTCGGTAGGGTTTGTTGCTCAGACACTCACTCCCGCGTCTCTTCCGTTCTGGTGTGGAGTTGCTTCTCATCCCTAGAGTCTTCGACTTGGGCTGGTATAAATGGTCTTTCTGATTGTCCCAAAATACAAAAATGTTTTCACTTTCTATTTTTGTTTTGGTATGTGAATTAGAATAAAATAGAAAGATATGTAAAAGTGTAAAAAATAAGTATCATTTATTGTCATTTTTTAATCTTTATGCCGATCAAAGTTTGCAATTTAATTCGGGACGGAGGGAGTACTATTTTTCAAAAGCCTTGCGGTCAAATGGTTTTCTGAAATATATTGCGTTGTTTAACTGCGCAGTTATCTTCAAACATTTATTTGACTGCCTTCTCGATTGCATTTTTAGCTGAAATTTGATATGGGTAACTAGACTTAATGAAGAAGATTCTCAAAAAAAATCATCAAACAATTCCACCGGTAACTGTCCCAAATGGAGGCGGACAGACAGAATCTCCTATAAAATGGGTGATTTGCACTTTTTCGATGAGTTCGAGTGCTTAATTGCCCCTTTTCCCAGTATTCTATTTTACTTGAGTAAATAACTATGTTTAAGTCCTGCTAAATTCATTGGTTTTTTGTCCACCTGTCATAGTAGGGATACAAAACTTAGGAGGTTGTGGTCAGGAGAATTTTAAGTGGCCGGCTTCTAAGTTTAAAGTTCTATGAACTTGATATGGATGAGTAGCAGGTACTGGGCGAGTGTTTTCTTACTAAGTAACATAGATTAAACATGTTTTTAATTTTGTTGTCTAATGTAGAGAAAATAAGTTCAGGGATATCCAAAAAGAGACCATTGCAAATTTCCAAAACCAATAATCAAACATTCTGCAATAAACAAGGTCTCACACCTCATAACACAAAAGATCAGGTCTGATCACATCTTTATACCTGCATAAGCAATAGAAATAGTTAAACAAAGGTTAATTCCTCTCAATAGTAAGTAGATATATGTTGTACATCAAGAAATGATACTCCATATTAATAATAAGATATGAATAGGTAATAGAGAAATTGCCCAAAATATACATCAAATAAGAGTGTTAAGAAAAAATAACCTTTATGGGTATGGTGGAAGCATTATTGGCAGCTAAGTAACATTTATAGGCATGTATTCATTTTTATTGCTATCAAAATCCACCAACTATTCTTTCAAATCATAAGAGAATTTTTCTTTTCTTTTTCGTTGTTCATTTGGAGAAAGGAGTTCTTGTCCTAGAGAAAGGTGTGTCAAGTGTAATCACTTTTAACAAG